CTGTCACGTGCTCCTTGGTCTCTCTAGGCTTTATTTGTAGTTCAAAATCAAAATATCAACCCTGTTGAGCTTGTGCTTTTGGCACGTTTGGTGTTAACTGTGTTTGTACTAGCCCATGGTGAATACTATGTTAATCTAATTCCATGTTCACATCCCCTGCAGCTTAGCATGCTTGGTGAATAGCGTTCTCGCCTTATCAAACTGGTTAGTATTTGACTTCCACTAATTTTCATCCTTTAAATTATGTTTCTTAAGTGTCATACGTGTATTCAACTTGAGAAGAACTTCCCTGCCCCAGAGGGTTATTTTTTTTTCGTAAAATTAATTTGTTGATAGTCTAGGATGTAGTGTTTTTAATCTTTAAGGGTGAGCATGATAGATTGAGGGGTTCAAGAGATAATAAAACTATATATCATTTCTTTATTTAAAAAAACATTTTTAGTCGCATGTCCCCGGAGCAAGTGTCTATTCAGGACGAAACATCCCCTGAAGCCTAAAACCGACAATTTAAATTTATGAATTATAGCAAAAGATCAATTCAAGGTATCTGATAGTCTACTTAAATAGAGTCCTAACCCGAATCAAATGAAATAATAATTGATCTCTAACAATTCTGCGACCAGAAAAATCTTGTCATCTCGGTTGTGAATCAATTTCAATATACGTCCCAAATATTCACCGCAAGTTGGAAAATAGTTGTGGCCCAATCCAGTGCTAGCAATTCTGGATGGTAGTCCAAACAAGGATGGACACATCAAGTGATGGGTAGGTAGGTTCATCATGAACCCCTTAAGACGCAATCCTTAGTGCATGCACATGAACCAACCATCCTGGTATGACCTCCAAGAGGTATCCAGAAGCTTTGAATCACTGCTTTGGAGAAAGAGCAGGAACATGTGTGGTGGTTCGAGCAGATACACTTCCTCTGGAAGAGGAGTACTATAGGTGAGATGATGAGAAGTGAGAAATATATAGAAGTGAAAATATGAGAAGTGAGAAATATATAGAAGTGAAAAGATGAGAAAATTGGTGGGAGGAGAATAGATATGTTCACACAAATTCACAAACGCCTCTTGCACGGGAAGAAAGCGAGTGTTATGCCAAGCTAGTATTCTCTTTTCTTCTTTCTTCTTTTTGTTGCCGCCCTGTCCAGTGTGCAAGCTTTTTATTATTCGCATTTAGATATGTTATCTAGTGAGGTTCGATGGAGTATTGGAGGAATGGTTTTCAATAGTTGTACTCCATTTGGAGCCTTTCTATGTGACCATGTTATCCTTGTGTTGATTATATGTGTGCATACTCATATAATGGGAAACGAACTTACTTAGGTGGTGGTATGGTGTCTTTGACAAAATGGAGCTCTCTTTGTGAGCTTTCTTTTGATGAACCATGTATAGATTTGATTCATGAATATGGATAATGAACAGATTTTGAGTGCTTTTGTATAACATTTTATTGGGAATCGTATTATATTATTATGTTATATTATTCCGTAGGAATGGGTGTAGAATAAAGCTAAAATTAGTGCATAAAAATATGTGGTCTGATGGGTTTTCTGGATGTTGGAGCTTCATTCACTGCAGAATACGGATTTGGATTTCGAAGAAGGTTGTTAGATATAATTGTTTTAATAGAATTCTATTGTTCCATCTTTTTTTATGGTGTATAATGGATATTTACTATTGGATATAAGATGATTTTAGGAAAAAAATGTTTGAATGTATAAAGTGAGTTATTGAGTAGTAAAATTATTTTGGTGGAAAAATGTAATATTTTTGAGATTGTGAATGGGTATGAGATAAATGTGATGATTAAAGCTAATGTGATAGACAAATATTAAAATAATGAATGTAAACGATTGGTAGTTAAAATACGTGAGTAGATGAAGAGTGAGTTTTGTTGAGAAATATGTTTTAATGATTGATTTTTATTATTTAATTGTATTGATAAGATTGAGAGATCATAGTAAAATTAGATGAATAGTGATTTCTTTGAAAATTATTTGTAGCCAATCGTAGTTTTGACGAAAATAAAATTTATCCAACGGTTTTTTTTTTTTTTTTTTTTTTTTTTTTTTTTTTTTTTTTTAAAATCCAATGCTCTTCAAAAAATGCTTGTACTCCATGTATCCATAGTATCATTAGTTTGATCTATTACTTAAAAATGATAGTATCAATTGTTTTTTCTCGGAGACGCTAAATGCAACTTTTGTTTATTATGCTTCTATTTCAAGACTTCATGTTATACTAATGATTAATGGTAATCATTGGTTACTTGAGGTCGGTTCGTGAAGCTATTATGATTCTTCAATGTTATATTATATTTTGTGAACTTGGATATTGTTACCGTGTTTTGTGTTCCCTTATTCTTTCATAAATTTTTTCATATTTCTTCGTCAATTTAACCATCGGGTTACTTTGCTCTGTCAGGTTCCTGAAGCATCAGATGAAAATGCTTCAGCAGCGACAATTGGTATTATTAAGGTTTAAGCTAATCTTAGATTTATTGTACACCTTGTTTTTCCCCCTTTGCTTGATTTCATATTTTCGTATCACTGAATATTTTGCAGCCTTTGAATGGTCACTTTGATCTGGATCCTAATCGAGTATCGTAAGTTGAATTGGTAGTACTTATTCAGCTCCTTATCATGTTGTCATCAAGAATTTGTTGTAGTACTTCTGTTGCTTATCTTGGTGCAGTTTGATTCTTATTGGCCTTTTGCATTTTAAAAGGTGTTGGAGTGTTTCGAGCTTCAGCTTGGTAATAGCATTTTCTTGGATTTAATTCCAAAATTTCCAAAGGTATCGTTGATGCTATGCGTTGCACTTGTCTTCCTTCTTGTTTATCCTTTATCTTCAAGTTATGCCCGCCTACGATTCTGTACAATCTTTCATCTCTTTTTGCTTTATGGATTTAGAAAATGTGTAGTTAAACTATTTTTTGTGTTTATCAGTCCCACGCATCACATTCTTGGATTCAAGTTCCAATATTTCCAACCTGTACCTACAAGGCTCTATCAGCTCACAACTTTGTTAGTGAAGAAAAAGTTCACTGAAGTTGATAGCATGTAAGTTAACTTCAACTCTGAGTATCTTCTTTGGAGCTCAAGGTTGTTTGTTGCTCTATGTTTTTCACATCAGTTTAGTCACTTTGCTCTTATTATTCAGTTCAATTATTTCTATTCGTCACTTATGTTGTATCTCCTATAGGTATTCTGGTAGAAGAGAAACTAAGAGCATCTCCAATGGTATTTGGATTGTCCCATTTTATTGTTACATGGTACAAAAAACCTACGTTGCCTAAAAAATTCAAGAAGTCTTTTTAGATGTAAAAGTATTTCTTAACAACTTCTATATATATTATATTATTTTTTCAAATTTTTTTTTAACCGATTATAATGTTACACATGTCAAATTAAACAATCTTTAACATTAACCATTTGAGACACAAGTTTTTAATTCCTTTCATGCCATGCAATCTATAATGGACAAGATACTATTTGAGATGCTCAAAGGTAGTGGTTTGCGTACATAGTTGATCGCTTAACCTTGAAATTACGAGTGTCCTGGGTCGCAAAATTTTTTGCATTTTTTTTTTTTTATTTCTCCGACTGACTCAAACAGAAGGTCATGGATAAAGACTGGAACTTCTTTTTAACACATGGAAATAAATTCCTTCCTCTCTTTAGTTGTCTTCACAGTTTATTTCCTATTAATGGTAATGCATGATAGCTAGATATTTCGAAAAATTCCTCTCTTTACCCTCCTTGCCCTTTGTAGGTGTCAATACTCGAAGTCTATCATAATGTGCATGAAATACGCATAATATTATTTGAGTGAAGCTTATGACGTAATGTATTTTCGGGGGCCCATGCCTATAACTTTAAGGCTAGCAAGCATCACAAAGGTCATGGATAATAACACCACAATCAATAAAACTCCCCACGGAAGTGGATTGAACGGGAGATGGTCTGTTTAAAGTGGCCCAGAAACACTAACCACAAACAAATAAGTTCACCTAAAATAAGTAAATATGCATATATGCTCAATCACATTAATGGATGCAGGGGAAGATCACATGAATATCGGTAAATTAATTTAGTCTCAAGTCCCAAAAAATATGGGAAAACATTTAATCAATATATATCCAAGACTAACAAGAGTAATTTCAATATATATATATATATATATATATA